TTATAGTTTCCAAAGTTTATAGCACACTGACTATAGCAAAGTAATCATAGATACTTTTTTTGGTGTGTAGCATTGGTTATATTTATAGGTGTGTGGAGCATTTCTATAAAATTCATATTATGTAACAATATAAAGCTACATTTAAGCATTTATGTACATACGTATATTATTGATTCTTACTCTCAAAAATCTTCTACAACTTTAGAGAATAGGCAGGAGTTTCACAATACATATTTAACAGTATGAGCTATGTATGTTTCTAAATATAAATTTAATCTAACAAATGTCGATATTAATATAAATTTATATAATAACAAATTCGTTATAATGGCACATGTAGCATATGTTTTCATTTTGAATACAGGTGCTCTTTAATATTATAAGTCTTTCTATTTAAATTATACATTTTAAGCAACTTATATTTAGGGTATTTGATTTGTTTTCTTAATGGCACAACAACTGCTTCATTTAATACAAAAGCCATTTTATACTCATAGTTTTCACAGTTTAAAAGTCACTAGTTTTTCAGCCTTACACCCGTTTCAGATTTATTTTGGTGTGATGGGAGGCTGTAGAATTATGAAAATTAGCTAAAGGGCTTTCAAAATGGAAGTTTGGGATTTTTAGGAATTTGTAAGTTATGAGTCAGTATCACGTGTTTTATTCTTTATGAAATGATATAGCTGTTTTCAAACTGAGTAAATTATTAATAATGCTAGTATTATTTTCTCTGAGCAAATATGAATGTCAGTTTTACCTTTTTTTTTAATTCTAAAATGTATTGAACAGCTTTACAATACATGGTACAAATATAGTTATATCACACATAACTATGTTGTTTTTTTTTAAAGAGTTACAACATGATTGGTTGACTTTACTCACATCTATGTACAGTCTGTTAATTGTGCATATTGTAGTTTTGGGAAATTACTCATTTTTAAAATTTTCTTCTCCTTCAAAGTTGGTGAGTGCTGGAGAAGATGCTCTTGTATTTTACAATGACAAGGCCTCTTTTAGTCACCTGGTGGAGATGATGAGGTCAGAATGGCAGAGGATGGATGAAGCCGGACCACTTCAGTACCACATTAACTTGGTCCAGCTACTTGCAGCCTGTACTGAGGGAAAGAATGCTTTTACAGAAATCAAGTGTCACTCTCTTTTATCCTTGGATGACATTGTAAGAGTGGTTACACATCCTGATTGTCTACCAGAGGTTGGTACTTATATGTAGGTTTTGTCACTGTTTAATCTTAGGTGTTTTTTTTTGTGAGACAGTATTTGTCAATTTGACTGATGATCATATAAGTTCTAATAATCATTTTTATTTTCTTGTTTGCTACTAAATATTCATAAATAATAGTACAATCTTGTTTTATATACCAAGGGTGAATGTCTAATTGTGAGATTGTTTTAAATCTTTGTTAGCTTTTGGAAGATCAAAACTTGAGCAGTATGTTTGAAGGGTTGTTTATCAGAAACTTTTTTCTGCTGAAAGTTTTGGGATTATAATAATAAACAAACTTTTCTGATTAAGACTATTAATCAATAGATTTACCTTTACTTGCAGTTCTTGTTCACTGTTCGCCTTAGTGAGGATTTTAAGTTGTTTTCTACTTATAGGTTCACAAGCAAAAGTACTGTCTCCAGTGATGGGAAAAGTTAAATTTAATCCATCAATTTAAATTATTTCATGAACTTTATATAGGTTAATTATGTTGCACTCTTGGTTTCACTCAGAGACAAAACTCTGAGCTACATATACCACCCACCATGAAAAGTAATTGTTGAGCATTTCAGTCATGTTAAGAGCTGCTTAACAATAACATACAGTAAATTTAAATTTTTATTCTTTAACATGTTCGCGGCATAAGTGATTTCTCTAATTATGCAATAGGAACGTAAGGCCTTAGATACAGATAATTTTATGGCTTTATGTTATGTTTTATGACAGAATGACTGCATTGAGAACTTTCTCTTGGGTGCACCACCGATGGTACATGATTTCCTGTCTTTACCCATTTAAGCTTTGGTTCTCATGTGCTACTGGTGGTGCACACTATGGTTTAAGTAATAATAATCAAATGATCATAATATTTAATGATTTTTATCTTTTTTTTTCAGCCTAATCTTGCCATTTTTTAGAAGAATTATGAATATTTCACAATTTTATGGTTATAAAAAAGGGACATCAGATAAAATAATCCCTACTGTGGATGATAATAGTTCTATCCTTATTATATTACAGTCTTCATAACAGTTTTCTTAGTTATGAAAGAAGTCTCAGTTAGTGTTTCTTGCTTCAGTTACTCACAATGAAAAATTTAATGCCAATCTCTAGATGTAATTTTTTAAAATATAAACTGATTTAATCATGTAAGTTTGTTTTATTTCAGTTGTCCTTTCAATATGGCATCCATGCTCCACCAGTGGTACATGATGGAAGGCATGGCTTTATTTTAGTTATCCGTATAAAATATATGCTTCATATAGGACCTTGGAGATATGAGGTACAGTTATAAATTATGGGTGCTGTGTACCATGGGTGGTTCACGATGTCCAACAGAAAACATGCATATGTACCACTGGTGGCTCACAATCTCGTGAACATGTTAAGTTATGTCACATTTTGAAATGTGAATGATACTATGATTAATTCTTAAAAATTTAGTGTAGAATATCCTGCTTGCAAAGTAAAATTTGGCATCAACATTATTTATGCCTGTTCTCCCGTCATTCCAAAAGTGAATGTTGAGCTTTGCCTGCATGCACAGCTTTTCAAACACAATGTGGCAAGGGGCTGCCGTAAACAGGACACAGACAAAAGCTTGGACAAACACCACAGTTTGCAATATTTATAAGATTACATTCATTCAGCACATGTTGTAAATATTTAAATTATCATGTTCTTGTATGTGAACTGTTAACCACTTAGAACCTTATAAAGATTTAGGAAATTTATATTCATATACCTCATTAGAAGTTCTGAAGATAGGCTTATGATCTTTATGCCTAAAACAATACTGTAATCTGCATACAGGCTTAAAAACACATCTCAACACAGTTTAAGGGTATTTTCTACGACACAGCTTATGTAAGTGATCTCTAATTAGGATAAGCTGTTTTCTTGTATATGACAAGTCTTAAGAGTTTTTTTTTTTGTTTAGCTGTCTTTTAGTTAGGTTGTGTAGAAAAACACTTACTGTTTAAATGGTTTTTTGAATTACTTAACATATAATGCTTATTGCAAAATTATTTTCTAGTAAAAATTTCATAATCTATCTCTTTGTGAGAAAATTCATATTTACTGATTAGGAAAATGTTATTATATTCAGAATGTGTATTCCTAATCTTTAGCTTCCATATTTGTAATTTTTATTTTTTATTGTTACTGTTTAACAGAGAAAAGTAACTGGAAAATCTGGTAAATAATAGTTGTCTAATATTTCTAACAATCTTTATTAACATTGCTGTAAAATATTTGTTGTTGATAAACATTTAAGGTTATTAGTAAGAGTGAGTGCAGAGTTTTCTAATATGGTATATGATTTTTCTTCTTGCCTTCATTGGATATTATTTAGAAAGTTGATTATTTATGAGAGGTGAGTATTTTTTCATGTTATTGCTACTATTTCATGTAAAATTGTCAATATTTCTAATTTTTGACATCTAGTGTGTTGTTTTTGCCATTAAATGTGCCTTATATAAATGTTAGTTTTTGCTATGTGAAGGATTAAAGTGGCTGTAACAAGTTTCTCTGTATTTTTATGTTTTACTTTATTAATTTAAGTTTCTTACAATTGGCAGTAAATAATTTTGCAGTCTTTGTAACAGAGTTGTATTAGATATTCTCCTATATCACCCCTTATCTAATTCATTTTGTATTTAGTATATTTTTTCTTTGTGTATATTCTACTTTCCAAGAAAAAAAAAGAAGGGAATTGAGGAATTCAAGACGAGATTTTGTAGTTTAGTTTCCTGAGGTTTGTACAGTTTCACTGGCAAACTTCAGAAATGCTTATTCTTCAAACTAGTTTATTTGAAAACTTAAAAAAGTGAATATCAATAGGTTAATTCTTTGTTTCGGTGTACATATGTGTACAGGTTAATAGAGCTCTGGATTTTAGAACTGGCTAGCTGTGTTTGAATCCATGCAATACTACAAAGTATTCCACACACTGTGTGTTTGTGTTATGGAAGTGACTGTCAGTCTCTTATCATGGATGGTGAGTGTTAAGGTGTTGCTTACTTGCTGCTGATTTTCTTCTGATCTGTAGTTCAAAATTAAGAACGGCAACAGATAGTTTTAGAAGTTTTGTCATAAATACAAAAACATTATCCACACATTTGTTTTTTGCTGTAAGTTTTATATAAAGTGCTTTCTGTCAAAATTGGTTCACGAGACTCAGTTATAAGAGTTGAGCAATTTAACCCTATCTGGACCACAAAGCATCTTTCAGATATCAAGTACATACCTGCATATTAAGTTTCAAAATTTAAATAAAATAGTTCTATCCATATTTCTATAATTTCTAAATAAAAATATTTTAGAAATGATCTTTTATCATTTAATTAATAATTTTTTTATTTGAAAATTAAAATGAAAAAAGCCTATCCTAAAACAAAAGTTTATGTTTGTTAAGAAACTCCCATTACTTGAGAATATAATTATCTGTGTCTATTTTTAACATGATTTTCTTTCCGTGTTATTGGTTTATTACTACAGCTCTTTGTGTCCAACCAAGTATGACCTCACAGCATTTGATCTGAACACAGTTTTGAAACTAGCTGCAAGCAGTGTTTGAATATGATTAGATAGAACTATTTATGTCAATGTAGAGTAAATAAAGTGGCTTGAGCAGTAATTTATTGTTTTTTGGAAAAGTGACTAGTTGGAGCTCCTGTAGATATTATTTTTATTCCTGAAAATGCTTTCATGTTAAATTATATCTGTTCAAAAGCTACAGAAATTTTGTTTTATAAAAAGACACCAGATAGGTCTAGTTAGGTTAACATGTTTAGTAGATATTTTGATAACTTATATCCTAGTATTGAATATTATTGTTAAGTTTATTATATTCAAATGATATACACAATAAAATTATTTATCATTTATTGAAGAGAAACTATATTTTATAGGTATAAATTGATCTCCACCAAGAATATTATTAGCGAAAATAATGATAACTAGCTTGACACAGATAAATGATACCATTTTAAAAGTTGAGATCAAGTAACAAAAGAAATAAATTAACAAATATTGATGAAATTGAAACTGACTGTATATATAGAAAAGTGGAACTTTCTGGATAATGTGAAAAAATATTTAACTTCTAAAATGAAAGGAAGTGTTTTTGATGTTTTTCAAAACTGTATCTCACAGCAAAATTTTGGAAATTTTATCACCTAAGGAAAATGATAAAAATTCTAAATTCAAACTATATGAATCTTTTTAAGCCAAACGTAGATACTGTCTAGTAAGTTTATCCAAAGTCCAGTGTAATTTGGTTAAATGTTCACACTGCAAGAATGAAAAAAAAATCAAAGAATATCAGTGACACCCCTCCCATTTGAAAAATGTTATTACCTTGTTTAACCATTGAGTTTCATGTTTATGTTTATTTGTAGTTAAGTACAAAACTACACAGTGGGCAATCTGTGCTACACCCACTACAGGTATCAAAACTCAATGTTTTAGCAGTGTAAGCCCACAGACTTACTGCTGAGCCACTGGGGAGGCTTTATTTCTTCAGCGTCCCCCAGCGGGAAATTGGTAAGTTTACAGACTTACAATGCTAGAATCTGTGATTCAATTCCCTGTGGTGGATGTAGCAGATAGCCCAATGTGGCTTTGCTCTAAAATAAACAAACAAAATAATTTTCAAGTATAAATTATTACTTAAAAAAGTATGTTAACATAATTAGAGTGGATAATTAAAAATAATCAAGAAATATAAAATTTAGTTCTGTCAAGTACTGTCAGGCATGCTGTTTTCAATAGTTGCAGTTACCTTTCGTAACTAAAGATATATTAATGGCATTAACTAAAAATGTATTGATGACAATGGTACACAGTAGGTTGAGTATTTTATATTCAAACTATTTTGAATTTGGAAATTAGCAAGTCACATGTAAAAAACTATAGGCAATGTAAAGTCTGTGGAACAACATGTGCTTGAACTACATTTTGACATTGTTAGCATTCTATACGTAGTGTTATGCCACTGAAAATGGTTAATTTTGGGAAGGGTACGTAACAGCCTTTTCTAACACAAAATATTTATACACTCAGGTCTGTCTATCAGATATTGCATGATCACATGTAGCAACATGGACTACAACAATATGGTGAAGCTCCAGAAGTTTTATATATTTTCTTACTGTTACATCTTCTTTAAAACTTGAGTGGAAAAAGGTTTAGACTTCATTGCTGCATATAGTCACTTTTTTTGTTTAGCTTATATCATGAAGCTAACATACAGGAGATAGCAGTGTTTCAAATTATATGCCAATCTTAAGCTTTAAATTATTGTCTCCAATGTAATTCACACTTTGAAAAATGAGGGCTTGCTTCATGTGTATTTAGTAAAGAATTTTGTCATTTTTGCAAATTGTATTTCTTTTCAATTGGAATTAGTTGAATTAATGTGCTTTAAATTGGTAAAATGTTAGATTATTTGTGTGATTTAAACTTGTATTAATTCAAAGACTGACAATACTTCATGTAATAGTTCCATGATGTTTACCTAAAGTTTCATCCATTATGTTAATAGAAGCTTTACTTACAATAGTTGAAGAAGTGGAAAACACTTTACTATTAATGTTACATTTTTAGAATTTAATATACATAATATTTCTTTTAGTTAACTGATGTTTTCTTTAACTTAAAATGAATACTCAATACATTTTAACTGTCGACCAAAACTTTTAAATTCAGTTTATGTACCACCAGGTCTAGTTAAACCTAAAATAGTGTATATATATTTTTCATTTCTTATTGAAAGGTTTTTTTTACTTGTTGTTTGGTTTAACACTGGATTACTTGATTCCAAATAACAGATGTTTTTATTGACAATAATTACAGAAATGCCTGATTGAGCTTTCTGGTTACAAAAACTTTTAACAGCAATCCCTGATAATGATAATTCTTGCTTGTAAGAAGGTTAAGACAGAAGAGAGTATATGGGACAGGCATTTTTAATGAACTGCATCTGTCTAGAATTGATGAAGATCTGTGCTACCAGTTCGAAACATTGTCCAAAAACTTGCAGATAGATGCGGTCCATAAACAATTCCTTTCAAGTATCCCTGATAAGGCTTTACTTGTAACAGTTGTTGTATGAAGATGTTACGTACGTCAACTGTGAAATATGTCCTATATTATGGAAACAATGTACTCTTATACACTGATTAAGTTGAAACTACTCATGATGGCTGTGGTTATTTAGAATTTTAAAAGCTCTTATAATAGAAACTTATTTTTTTAAACTACAATAAAAATTTCAAAATATAAATCCAGTATTCATGTTAATTGGATTGACTCTTTGTTTAATTTATCTTTTTCATGACATATTGATCACACAAAGTATTTTATTTGCCAGTGTTTGTTATATATATATACATTGATTTCCTGACAAACCTTGATAACCCTTTCCACCTGAAGATTTTTGTTGTTATATCATGTTATATTAGCTTACAATATGTCACTTTTTCATATTGGTAAAGCTATAAATGATATATTTTAATTAACTTTCTATTATCCTTATATATCCCTTTTTGGGACAGTGTTAAGTTTACAGACTTACAACACTAAAATTCGGGGTTCGATTCCCTGCAATAAACACAACAGATGGCCCAATTCGACTTTGCTCTAAAACAAACAAACTATTCTTATAATAGATAAGAACAAAATATTTGAAGTAATTATGAATAACTTGGGTACTGCATTACAAAAGCAGTTAAGATCAGTAACCAACAGTTAAACACATCATACTGTGTTAATCACATTTCATCGTGCTATCAAAGTCTTTGTATAAAGATTATTAAGTATCTATGCTTGTATTAACTGTTTAAACTTGGTTTTGAAGATTTTAAAATATTTACCCCCCCCCAAAAAAAAAGAAAGAAAGAAAAACACAAGATTGGAAACAAGTAAAGAAAAAATTATTTGGTAAAAACTAAAAATACTTCAACAGCTAGCAGAATTTCATTTTTATGGTAGTTTGTGATTCTTGTTGGTCGAGACATGGATGTGAAGTTAAGTGTTTGATTTTTGTTTTTTTCAGGTGAAGGGAGCCTACATTAATTTCTTAAGCCACTGTTTCATTGACACGGAAGTAGAAATGAAAGAAATTTATACCAGCAACCACATCTGGACCCTTTTTGAGAATTTTCTCATAGACATGGCTATGGTATGCTACCATAAGTAAAAGTAACTTATGTGAGTGGAATAAATTTAAATAAGCGATTTTCATGACAAATAATTGGAGGGTACAATGATTAATTAAAACTGTCTTTAATTAAGTAAATGACTGAAAGCAAATATTACTTTATTATTCAAGAAATGTATGTGAAGCCATAATTATAACTTTTTTTTAATATAAATGTCAATATTGAACAGTTATGGTATGCAGATATTATATATCTCCTCATCTATTGCACATATATCATGCAGATTATTGTTTTGAAACTGGAACATTGTAAGTCTGATCAAAGTTGTGGTTATTTCAAACCCAGGTGTTACTTCTTGTAGAAGGATTTGGTGGAGGAGACTCTCTGATCTTTCATTGCTCTTTGTATACAGGGTTGTTTTACAATTGATGCCTTTGTGGTTGGTTGGCTACTTCAGAGAGAATGTACATTTTGAGGGTAGTTTTGGAATTTTCAGTGAAAATCATTTCTGATACTGAGAAAGTTTAAGTTTTATTGTAGCAGCTGTGTCTTTGTTTTTGGTGTCTTTTCTACTTGCCGATCGTGTGTGATTTTATTAGTGTGTATAGTAGGTTCAACAACTACCCTCAAGTTGTTTTTAAACACTTATTTTAGTTTTATGTAAGTACAATTGCATTTATAATATTCATTACCTTAATCATTTAATTGTACTATCATTTCACAAACATAATAGTAATTTCGACTAGAATGATCAGCCGTTGTTCCAGTGACCCTTTCCACTAGAATGATCAGCCATTGTTCCAGTGACCCTTTCCACTAGAATGATCAGCCATTGTTCTAGTGACCCTTTCCACTAGAATGATCAGCCATTGTTCTAGTGACCCTTTCCACTAGAATGATCAGCCATTGTTCCAGTGACCCTTTCCACTAGAATGATCAGCCATTGTTCCAGTGACCCTTTCCACTAGAATGATCAGCCATTGTTCCAGTGACCCTTTCCACTAGAATGATCATTCATTGTTCCACTGACCCTTTTCTATAATTCTTGAAAATATAGTCTGTTTGTTTGTTTTTATATAACTTTACCTGATATCTTGTTTCTTTCATTCCTCCACTACACTTGTCCTTCTAAATACTAGATCCACAAACCTTTCAT